AGGCCTTCCCAATCTCTGTGCAATGATGCAGGCTTCTCTTGCCGCAGAGAAGATGGCAGCTCATCCCTGGTAATGAGGTGTACATCTGAGACTGGCGGGGGTTGGAGATGTATTTTGTCAACAGCTCTGGCCAAAGTAACTCTCTAATAATATTCAAGTACGGATAGACAGTGTTTCCTGAGGCTGTTTGGATCACCTCTTATTTTGAACAGGACTTTACTGTGGTTTTCTTCAGTTCTCAGTGGAAATGGATGGGTTTTGAAGGCAGGCACAGTGCCCCTCTGGAGAACTGCTGGTTCCTCATGAGGGACTGTGCTGGCATGGTATGGCTCTGCATGGGTAGAATCGCTGCCAGCTCACCCTGCCACAGCTGCACACAGATGGGCCTATTTTCTGGACAACAGCAGTCAGCAGTGCCCTTCTTTCCTTTCAGACAGTAGACCACTAGCCCCAACACGATAAAGTCTGTGCTGAAGCCTCAGTCTGGTGTGCCCAGGAATATCGGAGGAGGAAACAAATAGGCTCTCGGGTGGACTCTGTCACTCAGAAGGGAAAGGGCTCCAGTGCCCACGCCACCAGATTTACCCTCTGGTGAGCTGGATCCCTGCTTGCTGCTGCCACCCAAAATGAGACATAGGATGCTGAGAACCAGAGCATCTAACCAGACAACTTCCTAGGAGGCACTCTGGAAACTATAAAGGGTAGGTAAATTGGAACACAGCATTATTCTCCCATTTGGAAGCTGAAACACAGTTGTTTTTAAAAGTATACATTCTCAGTAGGATGACCTTGGCAGCATACACCATTGCTTATCAGGATTTATAGAAAAATATCATCCAGTGGTCTTCAAGGGTATATGAATAAATGAACATAAGCCTCCACCCAACACTTTGGACTCCTCTATCTATAGTGATACTGACTAAATTTATCTATCTTCCTCCCTTCCACATGCTGCCCTGACACACCAGGCTCCTCCTTCAGGAGAATTAACCCAGTTTAAAATGTGTTGCTGTGTGTGTCTATGTGCTTAATTCTGTTGTTAAATCTAATGATGTATGTGGGCTCCATGAGGGTCAGGACTATGTCATTTTGACTCACTGAATCCCCAGGACATTGCCTGAAGTATTTGTAGAACAAAGAAAGAGAGGAAGGAATGGAGAGAGAGAGAGAGAGAGAGATTGATTGATTGAGAGAAAGTGCCAGGCATGGTGTGGAGTACACTCCAGAGCTATGGAAGTGCTCACAGTCCAGCAGACAAATAATTCAGGGTGCCACCCACTGGTACTCTGGGAAGGCTGAGGAGTGGATTCTGGAAGGCTTCCCTGCAACAGAGTGTGCCTCTGCAGCTGCCACAGGGGTTCTGGATTTAGGGACAGCTCTGGCCAGAGGCAGGGACAGCAGAGAGGCACAGGGATGCAGATCAGGCCTTCACTGGGCAGGAAGCCAGCCCAGACACAGCACTCCTGGGTGGAAAGAGCAGAGAGTTCTGACTTTCAGACACATGATTACCCTCATCCTAGGCACTTCCACCCAAAAACCTATTACAGAGCAGCTTAGATTTCCCTAGAGCTGATTTCTCGGATTCTCTCTGGCAATAGAATGCCTTTCTATTCCTAATTCCTAGAGTGGCACATGGGCCTATGTGTATGTGAGAGACACAATGATGAAGGAATCATGAGTCCACTGTGGTTTGTTCAATACCATCATGCGGAACTGCACAGCTAAACCAATGGGGCAGGAGCTGCCATACCGAGGCCTGCCCTGCAAAATGGGATCTGTCCATCTTTACTGGGGAACCATGATAAACGAGCAAAGACAGACACTGGTGAGGACAAGCCACTTTATTTAAGAGCTTCGACAGCCCAAAGTGGTTTAACATAGATGCATGGAAGATTTATTGAGATGATAAAATACTTGAACTTGAAAGGCACATAAATTATAATTTTGCAGTTTTTTCTTTTTAAAATTTCACATAGTCAAGTGCTTTAAGTAATGAATGAAATGCACATAAAGTTGATTTTGTGTCACACAACCTGTCTGGTTAGTGTCTGCAAAGTGCCTTTGCTTCCAGATGGGACTGAGTTCAGAATCAATGCCACCCATCTGTGCCTGCAGCCTTCAGTTTTGTCATCATAGTGGAACTCATTGGGAAGATTAATAAATATAATAATAAGGCAGCCATTATTGACAGGGCACTTACCATACTAGACGTTGTACACTGAGGTCAGTGCTTCATATGCTATCTTGCTTCATGCTCCTAACAGCCCTATGAATTAGGTACAATGATTCTCATTTTAAAGATGCAAAAACAGATTTAGAGCACTTTGGTGATACATGGGAGGTCACACAAGCAATTTTATCTGACTACAAGACTGTGGTGTTCACCACTAAGCTGTGACACACGTGAAACTATTTGGCCTCAGCAAATGCTTAAATTAGTCATTTTCCTCTACCTTCACATTCCTTTTTTAAACACACACACACACACACACACACACACGAGTGAAGAATCTGCCTCTTGGGTTTATGTTCATTTATTTGTTCATTACTGATTCCTGCCTTTTTGGCCTGGTATTCTGCTGCGTGCAAGGGTTACAAAATTAGACCCCAAGGCTCCCAGGTCAAAGAGCTAGACCAGTCTCCGGCAGTTACCATGCTCAAATGGATGCGTCTGCAAGCAGGGAACCCCCGCTCAGTCATTGGTTAGAGACACATCATCAAAAAGACCATTTTTAGACCCTAGTTTCCCCCAACTTTTGCTATGTTTTCTTTGGCTTGAGTCTACACAGATATTCAAACTCTGGGGCTTTCTGACATGCAGCTGCTGAGGGGCCTTTATCATACAGAACACTCCTTCCTGCTGCCAGGATCTTGCTTTCTGGCAAAACCCCTGCAACAGATAATCTAACCCCTGGACTAATCACCCAGCACAGTTTCTCAAACTGCCCTCACTCCTCTCCCTCTCCCCCTGCTGCCCTGCCTTGTTTCATCAACTTTTGCCAGACTAAGGAAAGATATCAATAGTTACAGTAGTAGTAACCTCCTACATGTCAGGCACTGCTCTATGTATTTTAGGTCCTCATTAAATCCCCATAATAACCTTCTGAGGTAGATACTACAACTATGCATATTATAGTTCATTCAGGAGAAGGAGAGGGTGGGAGTTAATATTTCTTCAGGGCCAACGATATGCCAAGCACCTGTTAAGCCTGCACAATCCTCAAGACTCACATGGTGGGTAAGCTGCCCAGGGTCATTCACAGAGCTGGGAAGTGCCAGGTCTGTGACCACCAAGCCTGGAGGTTCCTTTCTCATGGGCTGGCACCCTGCCATGGTCTGAGAGAGGAAAATAGAGGCTGCACCATGGGCTGCCCTCTCTCCTTTTCCCTCCAACACCCTCTGTTAACATCTCGACTGTTTTTTTTTTTTAACCACTTCACACGATGCCAGGTTCCTGCCTCATTTGTGCTCCCTTACCCTCTGGGCCTCTCAGTTAGTTTTCATGGAACAATTCCTTTGTCTACACCAATGGTGTAAACAGAGCCAAATAAGAAATTGGGATCATTTGAGCTGACAAAACACAGTGAGCAGCTGACAGGTGTTTCCTGAAACCTAAACTGCTCTCCCAAATCCATAGGGTCTCAAGGTTGGACGTCCTCAGCAAGGTACCAGCATAGTTGTGCTTCTGGGAAGTCTTCTGTCCAATTTTAGGGGGTGACACTGAAAGCTGGTAACCACCAGTGAAATTCAGGAAGTGACTGATTCTCAGTGGAGCTGTGTGAATCACACCTTCAGGGCCTCCTCCAGCTGGAGGCTTTCTGAGAAATGTGAACCAGGTCAAAGGCAAAGACCATTTCCCCTGCAAGGCCAGAGGGTCAGACCCCTTCCTCTGGACTCTGCTAGGCTGAAATTGTCACTGTATTTCACCTAGCCCACCTGACATGGGCTCCAGGAGGGCAGGGCCCCTTTCTGATTCCTCAGAGCCAGGGTAAAGTGTACTCCAGTTAAATATTTCAAGAATGAATGATGAAACCAGTCATCATTTTAGAGAACAGGCTGTTTGAGAGATTCTACTCAGAACCCCTTATTTGATAGAGGAGGAAATAGGACTCAAGGAGAGGGGAAGTGAGCTTGCTGAGAGGCAGGCACACTGTGTTTAGTACAGAACAATATCCAGCCTTGGATGTTTAATGCAGAGTAACATCCAGCACCCATCACGCAGTGCTAAGTCACTTACATTCAACGTTTCCATTCTCAATGGGTAGGAGCAGTCCCATTTTACAGAGGAGGAAGTTAAGGTAAAGGAACTTGCCATCCCCCCAGCTCTCTGCAGGCCAGCCCCACCAACCCCCCTTTCCTCAAACAAGCCACATTCTCTCCCAACAAAATAAGTTTGCTCTATTGTTCTCTGCCCCCGAATTCTCTAAAGTTTTAGTTCCAGCAGGCTTTGTAGCTGGGGGCCCTAATAAAAGCTCTCCAGCACCCTATACTTTCCATCATCATAGCTCTGACCACAGTTTTAACGCTCACACTTGTTTGCATAATCGCTATTTGGTGTCTGTCTCCCGCACTGGACTGGGAGCTGCATGAGGGGGGGCACCACGTCTATTGGCCCGCCACTGTAACCCCAGCAATTAGACCAGCAGCGGGCACTGACTGGCACACGTTAAGTACTTGTTAGAAACGGTGCTTATATTTTTAACTGCTGAGTACACAACTGCTGAAGGTAGGATTCGAACCCATGTCTCTGGGGCCTGGTCATAGCTCAAGAGGTGCTAGGGGTTAGGTTGATACGCTTCTGCGAGAACCGCCGGCGCGCAGAGGCAGCGCGGAGCTTTTCCCCAGTTTGCGGGGTCCCGGAATGCTCCACACTCCGCCGCCACCAGTTGCCCGAGCGGGGGCGCCCAGGACTCCGTCGGGGGCCGGGAGTCACAGGGGCCTGGTCGTTTAGCCGCTATCTAGGTTCTAGCGGACTGACTAGGGCCCCAGGCTGCGCTTACCTGCTATTCGCCGGGCTCAGCAACGGCGCTCGGCGAGTCTCGGGGAACTGCGGGGGACTACGGGGAACTGAGTGGGACTGGGGAACCTGCGGGGCCTAGCCGGGGCTGTTGGTCAGCGAGCTGTCCCGCGCCCGACGTCGGGAGGGAACGACACTTGGTCTCGGCACTCAAGTCTGCCTCCCGCCCGGGAGGCCAGGGGTCTAGCCCGCGTCTTGCCCGTGCTGGGGGCGGGGCCTAAGGAGAACTTGACCTTGCGCTCCCCTGGCTGCCCAGAGCGGACGGAGTCTGAGGCAAAACAAACCTACGTCCCGCCCCCTCGCTGGGAAGGGCCCTACGGAGACCCAGCCCTGGTCCCGCCCCTGGCCCCTAAGCCCCGCCCTCTCCCCATCCCCGCCCCCGCCCCCGCCCCCTGGCTCCCAATAGTCGAGGCTCTTCTGTGTCGCGTGCGTGTTTGCTTTTTATTTTCCGGTTTTGTATTCTGTTTTGTATTTTTATTTAATTTTCTTTTTAAAAGACAAAAAATACATGAAAGTAACGCCCACTTACTTTTTGCGAAATAAAATTATCTAGATTTGCTTATAATGAAAGCAACAGGCCACCTCTCGCTCCCTCCCATCACAGCTCTTTTTAACAGTTCCTCCGTTTATTTCTTCTGGTGGTGACCCGCCTGTCGGGGGGAAAAAAAAAAAGAAGAAGAAGAAGCTTACATAGCGATTTCTTGATTTATCCATTGACTTTCTGCCATGTTATATGAGGATTTACTCTCTCAGCGGCCCCTGCTTCCCTTCTGACAAATTTACACCTCTATTCTCAAGCCCTGCCTTCGTGAACGCCAGACCTCAAAGCAGGGAAGGTTTTCTGGGGCCTGAAGCTTACACACTTGTGTGGGGAGAGGGTAAGGGGGGGCTGTTTTAGAAAGAGAAGACAGAAGCAAGGCTTGCCAGTGAACATTTATTTAGAAAGAGAAAAATCATAACAGAGTCCTGAGGCCTTGGAGATTGGGGTCCCTATCCCCTGAGACCTCCTTAGGCAATTTGGGTCACAAATTTGCTTCCCTAATGTAGTCTGGCTTCCTCTGCCCACTCAGAACTCTCCATAAGGCCCCAGGGCTCATGGGAGCCTAGCAGGGAGAGGCCTCGAAGGACAAGATTCACTAGATTCTGCCAACAGGGTTTCTTAATGGAATGAATTGGAGTGTGCAGAAACGAGAGACATCAAGGATGATGTCAAGGTTTTGTGATTGCTGTACACTAAATTTCCAGCGTTTCTTAGACACAGAAACATGTCCTCACCTTAGGATGGAGAGCGTTTTATAAGCCTGCCCTTATCACCAGCACCTCACAGTGCACCCATGAGGCTGGCTGGACAGGTGCACTGTCTACACTTTTAGGAGGCCCATAAATTTGTCCATTGTGGATCAGCACAGGGAGCATGCAGCTTGCACCCTGTAAGTACCCAGGTAAAGGATACTTCCCCACTCAGTCTGAAGACACAGTGTCCATGCCCTCTCGGATCCCGTTTCTCTTACCTGTGGTGTAAAATGTGGCTCCACAAGGTGATCTTGGACAAGTCTCTTTACCTTCCCAAGCCTCAGTTGCCTTTCCTGAAATGGGAGGTAACAACCCCTACCACATTGAGTGTTGGGGAGGATTAAGTGGCTTAACATCTTTGTATATTCTCTAATTGACAAATAGGTTTGCTTCCCAGAAGGGTGGGAGGCTCATGAGAAAGTTTAGGGATTTCTAAGAATTTTGTGTAGCATGTGGTACCACAGGTTGATTGGAGCCCTTAGATTAAAATCGTGGGCTGAAGAGTCATTCTGAGTCAGGACCCTAGGCCTAGGAGGAGAACCTGCACACAGAGAGCAGAGAAGAGGCTGAACAACGACTTCCTCATGCAAGAGAAGCTTCCTTTGTCTGAGATAGTGAAGACTAAAGCTTGGTCTATAAGGAAAACTTGTTTCTTAGGCAAGAATAAATGAATGAATTAATGGCATTCGCAGCAACTGGATGAGATTGGAGACTATTATTCTAAGTGAAGTAACTCAGGAATGGAAAAACAAACATCATATGTTGTCATAAGTGGGAGCTCGCTATGAGGATGCAGATGCATAAGAATGACACAGTGGACTGTGGGGACTCAGCCGGGAAGGCTGGGAAGGTTGTAAGGGATGAAAGACTGAAAATTGGGTGCAGTGTATACTGCTGGGGTGAGGGGTACACCAAAATCTTACAAATCACCATTAAAGAACTTACTCATGTAACAAAACACCACCTGTTCCCTAATAACCTATGGAAATAATTTTTTTTTAAAGTAGTGTTCGCTTGTGCTGGAAGGTAAGAACCTCACGTAATAGCCAAGCTTAACCTAACCTAAGTGGGGAGACCCAGTGGCTGAGAAATCCATTTTGGAGACACAACTGCCTCCTAATGTTTTAGAAGGGGGAATACCTACTTGAAGTCATGTACTTTGCTTAAGCTCACAAAAAGACTACCAGATCGTGGGTATGACGGAAATAATATTTTCAGATCTCCCTTTATTGGTAAGTTTCCTTTCTCCTGGATCCTATATGCCATTATGGCTCAAGGATGGTGGCCATGTAATGCCACTTCAGGAATGAGGAAGATTTTACATAGAGGATGTCTCAGCTTGAGTCCCTCAGATGCAGATCCTGATGTAATAATTCTAATGCAAGTAGTTATTTGAGAGGTACATAGAACACCAGCAGAGAAATGAAGAAGCAATACAGGGAAGAAAAGGGGAGTGCAATAAAAAATTATTAAGCCAGCTACTGTAATAGATGATAGGGCTTTCTAGGGGAAAACCCTGGAAAGCAGTGTGAAGAGCATGCCTTGGAATCATCCCACCCACCTGCAGAAGACAGGTCTCTACAGAGAAAAAAGCTGGAACTGACCAGTTAGCTCATAGTTTTGAGCATTTAAAACATTATTTCTAGGCATAAAAATGCCATTACTAAAATGAGATCTGACTATAACATTTTTCTGCAGTTTCCTCCTGTCACCTAACAGTGTGCTGATGAAGTTTTAGGAGGAGCTCTTTGGGCAGGAAGCAGTGTGCAGATGGCTGAGAGTCACAGTCCTGGGATGGACCTGAGGACCTTCTGGATAACTTGCTTGTGTCTGGATTGTGATGAGGCTGTAGCCTGGGGCAGCCTTTGCATTTGGATAAAACCATTCTTACCTTGACTTCTGAGGGGTCGCGGAGGAAAAGCAAACTTTGAGTGGGTAAAAAAAAAAAATGTAAAAGGGAGACTGGTGGACTTTTCAAATGGTCAAAGAAGACAAACTTTTCAGTCACTGCAACTACTTCAGCCAGTGGGTGCTTTCCTCTTTTTTGAGATCGAGTTTTGCTTTTGTCGCCCAAGCTGGAGCGCAGTGGCATGATCTCAGCTCACTGCAACCTCCGCCTCCCGGGTTCAAGTGGTTCTTCTGCCTCAGACTCCCAAGTAGCTGAGATTACAAGCCCTCGCCACCATGCCCAGCTAATTTTTGTATTTTTAGTAGAGATGGGATTTCACAATGTTAGCCAGGCTGGTTTCGAACTCCCGACCTCAGGTGATCTACCTCGGTCTCCCAAAGTGTTGGGATTACAGGCGTGAGCCACTGCACCTGGCCAGGTGTTTTCTTACAAACAGTGAACAGACAATGCTCATGTCAGATCCTCCTTATACAGGCATCAGAGCAGGTCCTCACTAGAAAACCTCCATTTTGTCGACCTGGATCCATTGGGCTATACTTACTATTTAGCTAAAATTATACTTTTAAAACATGAATCAGTTTATAACACGCCTCTGTTCAAAAGCCTCCAGTGGCTTCCACCACAATTAGGATAAAATCTCAAGTTCTCCCGCTGGTGTGCAAGGCCCTCAAGGCTCTGCCCTGACAAGTGCTCCCACTGTTGGCCATTCTCATCTCTTATTTCCTTGACTCTGTTGCCATTCCTTGTGCACACTGGGCATATTTGCACCCAGAGCCATGGTGCTGCTCTCCTAACTCTTAGGGTAACTTTCCCATTTCATTAGCTTTCAGTAGACTGCTCCACCTAACAAACCAACAAAAACACTCCCATACAACCCCTTTTATAGTACTTATTACTTATCATTGGAGGATATTTTACTCATTATCTGTCTCTTTGGCTGAAGTGTAGAGCTCAAGAGGGGCTGAATCTTTATACGTTTTGTTCCCTGATATGTCCTCACACCCACGACAGTGCCTAGCGCCAGATATTCAATAAATATCTGTTGAATGAATGAATGAATGAGTGGAATTGAGCAAATGAAAAATATATTCATTAAACATACAGATAATATTCTAGAATGCAGACTTTCAACTAATCTAGATTAGGTTCCTCTTAAATAAAAAAAATTGTTGGAACACAGAGAGAAAAATAAAATGAAATGGCCGAGCTGTATTGTATAATCTGATTTATAATTGTAGGTTGAGTATTAGACTGAGAACTTTTGCTTTTTTATATTTGACCCAATGTCTGTGTTAAACACTTAAGCAAAGTTTAGGTTGAGTATTAGACTGAGAACTTTTGCTTTTTTATATTTGACCCAATGTCTGTGTTAAACTTAGGCAAAGTTTAGCTTGAAAAGCTTTTTACTCATTTAAAAATGGTAAAAAGAAACAAGGTTCTCCTAGTCACTTTAATAATTCAGAATAGTATTCTGTGGCTTCTGTTGGCATTTGAGAGCCCAAGGTGGTAACTGGTTACCTGAAAATAAAGGCCTTGATCAAATATTTAAGATCTCACTTATTTTCATTTTCTGCATATATTGTATTCCTGATTCTTACTTTTTTTTTTTAACCCATTCTGCAGTCACACAATTCACACACTGAGGTTAATAGAAATGTTTCATGGATTTTTAAATGCAGTGAAGTAATGAGTTTTTGCTAGAAAATAAGGCCAAACTGGGGCCACTTGGCTATTCTAACAAAGTAATTTTTCCTTGAAGGTGCAGACTATGAATTTACAGAGGCCTCTACCTGTTATTCTGAAGTTTTGTAAGGCAAATACATTGCTGCAGGAGAGGCTTTAAAGTGGAAAACAGATTCCCCCTGAAAACATGTTTTATGGTGCACAATTAAGAAATCCTATAATTAAGAATAGTTGAAAGCACAGAATTATAAGTGGACCCTTATAATTATGGCAAGAAGACACTAAACAGTGCCTGTTTGCTAATGAAAACATAGCACTCTGGTGCCAAAAGCAGTGGAGTGGGTTTTGGTTGGTGCTTACCTGGGCTTAATTGCCCAAGGAGTACTCCAGTGGCAGCACCCCAGTGCTATCAGCTGCCTTTCCTAATGGAGCTTTTATATTTTACCCCTA